AGATAGAGAAAGAAAGAGAGAAAGAAAGAAAGAAAGAAAGAAAGAAAGAGAAAGAAAGAATTGTTTTTTTTTTTTGTCTAAATACAGACAATCTTCTATGTGATTTTTACTCAGGTTCGGATTGAAGGCCTAACGGGACACATTCAGTTTAACGAAAAAGGACGAAGGACAAACTACACTGTCAGTGTGATGGAGCTCAGGCCAACAGGACCGAAAAAAGTAAGTACTTAAATGTCAGGAAAAGGATTAGGAAGCCTTTTGGTATGGCAGACTGTTTCACACTTCTTGCTTCACTTATAGTTTAAACGAAACATTCACTTGATAAGCTCCAGTATTTCAGCAATCCAGTCTACTTCCTCTGGGATGACTAAATGAGTACTGTATTTCATGTAGTGTCTCCTGTGGGATATCTCAGAAAGGTTCCTGATGATGCTCAAGTTCCTGTCCCTGATTTGATCTTTTCTCAGGTGGGTTACTGGAATGAGGATGAGAAATTTGTGAGCACGGCGGCCTACATGCCAGGCAGTAATGACACTTACGGACTTCAGAATCGCACATATATTGTTACCACTATTCTGGTATGTCTTCTTTAAATCATTTACATGATTTGCTCATTTAAACTTCTATGGGATTGAAAACATTATTTATAGGTATGGGGCCATGCAAGTAAGATTTTTTTTAAACTATTATTTTGTTCAGCAAGGACACATTATATTAATCAAAAGTAGCAGTAAAGACATGCATAATGTTACAAAAGATTTCTGTTTCAAAGAATCCTGTATCACAGAAAATAATCACAGTTTCCACAAATATATTATGCAGCACAACTGTTTTCAGCATTGATAATAATAATAAATGTTTCTTGTGCTTCATGTGACACTGGAGACTGCAGTAATGGCTGCTAAAATTCAGCTTTGCCATCATAGAAATTAATCTCATTTTAAATATATTTAAATAGAAAACCTTTATTTTAAATTATAATAATATTTCACAATAATACTGTTTTTACTGTATTTTTTATCAAAAGCATGCAGCGTTGGTGAGCATAAAATCTTACAGACCCCAAAATGTTTAAGTCGTAGTGTGTATTCAAAGTTATTGCAAGTCATGTGTTCCAGATATTCCTACACCTTTATATTTTCATGAAATAAATTATATCACTGTTTGTATGTCATATTTCATTACGCAAACAGCTCAAGAGAACTGAGACAGTCATCATTTAACATGCCCTCCTAACATGTCCTGTAGAATTTAATGTTAGTAATGATTTGTTTGAATGATTTATAGTTTCAGTGTAACTTGGCTGTAGTTGCCAAGTTGCTTGGCAAATAATCATTCTTCCCCAACACTGGTCGAATGGCAGTACAGGAATTCAGACTCAGTCCACCATCTCACAAGTCTTCTTCACCATTTTTCCTTTCTTAGAATGGCTGATGCATCACCTTCATGTTTTTATCCCTCAGTATGAAGACGGTAATGCTGTGCTGTGCAGATAAAAGCATGAAGGCTCTTCTGTGCGCTGTCTGTAAATGAGACATTATTGCTCCTCCAGCCACAGTGTTTTCATCTTATACTTAAAGGGGAACCTTGGATTGAATTGCCAGCAGTGGACAAAAGATACATTTTCCTTTTCTTTATCCTCGTTCGGCAGAGATCTTTGGGCTTAGCCTGCGTTTTAGCGATTCTCTCGCAAGTTAGGCTTCAGAGGGCATTTATTTGCCTTTCATATGTGGACTGCCAGCCAGAGAAAGATATGTGGACTCTTTCCCAGCCAGAGAAAGGGCAGAGTGAGTGGACCGTCCTCCTGATGGAAGGACGTGGGGGGAATCGGTGATAGGACAAAAAAGCAGTAATGGATCATCGGTGTGGGTTAGGGGCTAAGCGCTCACAAGGGAGTGGGATGGATTGCAGGAAACAGTCTGAGCTATGCTGTTTGTCCTATACAGAGACTGTTTATCAGAGAGGCTGGGAATACTCGCATCACCACGGGTGCTCTAAAGAATGATCTTTTTCTCTGAAAGACAGCATATAGGCCATCTTGGAGGTCTGCATTAGCAGGAAATGCACTGCCACTGTGCACTGTCTGTTTCTAAGATGCATTGCAGCACAGCTGGGTTCAAAGTTTTGTTATACTGAATACATTTGCAGACATGACACTGTAATCAAGGGTTTCACTTTTTGAGGTTTGTTTCTGGAAAGGGAAAACAATACATCTCTGTGGCTCTATTTGCTTTTAGTTTCAAACCTATGCTGCACAGCAAAGGCTTCTTTTCTTGACGTCAGCCCACTCTATTTTTCTTTATGCTCTCATGTTATTTGTTCATTGTGAGCTCCTTAGAAAAGTCCTGTTACTGAGTGAGCTGTCAGCTGGGCCTCAGGTGCCGTTTGTGCTGTATTCTCCTCAGGATGTCCAATCTTTGTGAAATATCACAATTGAACTGCTAACTCATATTACAGACTTTCCACAAATAGAATCACCCTGCACTTTCTACACAGTTGATTGCCAGGTCTGTCCCTCATGCTCAAGAATAAGGCAACTGAAAATAAACCTGTCAAGTTCACCATGTTTTAAGTAACAAACCACTATTTCTTATCTGCTTCGTCAACTCTTTCTTACCCCGGCTCTCAGTGTCTTAAAATATGGTTTCTATAATGCTTACACTGTTTCTACTGGATTAGACTAAATCTAAATTGTTCCCATTATAATCAGTGGAGCTGTCTGCATTGCCTATTGAATCGCATCTGGTGCAAAGTGCCTTCAGTTGATTTTGATCTTATTTCCCATGTCTGTCTTAAATGAAATATATTAAAAAGACATCATATGTATAATTTGTATAATATATGTTGTATACTGTATGTATAGTATGTATTTTAGTATGTTATAATCAGTTAATAAATATCTTATATAAATAAATAAATATAATTTTATATAAATATAAATATATAAATGTACAACTTTAAATGTAATAAAGTAATATTATTTAAGAAAAGTAAAAATAGTTGTAAAAAAAAAACTATATTAATATAAAAATCAAAAAGGTAAAGTATGATATACAGTTATACTGACATTTTTAGTGTAGAATCCCCAATAGTTAAACATAACAGGTCTGTCACACAAATATACTGTAATTTTTTGTTGTTCACTGTATATGTCTGTCTACCTGTGTGTCCTGACTAGGAATCACCGTATGTCATGCTGAAAAAGAACCATGAGCAGTTTACTGGAAATGATAAGTATGAAGGTTACTGTGTGGAACTGGCAACTGAGATAGCCAAACACGTGGGATACCACTACATACTCAAGATAGTGGCTGATGGGAAATATGGAGCCAGAGATCCTGATACCATGATGTGGAATGGGATGGTGGGAGAGCTCGTCTATGGTGTAAGTGCTACAAGTTATTTTCTCTCTGCATATATCTTATCTGGACTGCCAGCCAGAGAAAGATATGTGGACTCTTTCCCAGCCAGAGAAAGGGCAGAGTGAGTGGACCGTCCTCCTGATGGAAGGACGTGGGGGGAATCGGTGATAGGACAAAAAAGCAGTAATGGATCATCGGTGTGGGTTAGGGGCTAAGCGCTCACAAGGGAGTGGGATGGATTGCAGGAAACAGTCTGAGCTATGCTGTTTGTCCTATACAGAGACTGTTTATCAGAGAGGCTGGGAATACTCGCATCACCACGGGTGCTCTAAAGAATGATCTTTTTCTCTGAAAGACAGCATATAGGCCATCTTGGAGGTCTGCATTAGCAGGAAATGCACTGCCACTGTGCACTGTCTGTTTCTAAGATGCATTGCAGCACAGCTGGGTTCAAAGTTTTGTTATACTGAATACATTTGCAGACATGACACTGTAATCAAGGGTTTCACTTTTTGAGGTTTGTTTCTGGAAAGGGAAAACAATACATCTCTGTGGCTCTATTTGCTTTTAGTTTCAAACCTATGCTGCACAGCAAAGGCTTCTTTTCTTGACGTCAGCCCACTCTATTTTTCTTTATGCTCTCATGTTATTTGTTCATTGTGAGCTCCTTAGAAAAGTCCTGTTACTGAGTGAGCTGTCAGCTGGGCCTCAGGTGCCGTTTGTGCTGTATTCTCCTCAGGATGTCCAATCTTTGTGAAATATCACAATTGAACTGCTAACTCATATTACAGACTTTCCACAAATAGAATCACCCTGCACTTTCTACACAGTTGATTGCCAGGTCTGTCCCTCATGCTCAAGAATAAGGCAACTGAAAATAAACCTGTCAAGTTCACCATGTTTTAAGTAACAAACCACTATTTCTTATCTGCTTCGTCAACTCTTTCTTACCCCGGCTCTCAGTGTCTTAAAATATGGTTTCTATAATGCTTACACTGTTTCTACTGGATTAGACTAAATCTAAATTGTTCCCATTATAATCAGTGGAGCTGTCTGCATTGCCTATTGAATCGCATCTGGTGCAAAGTGCCTTCAGTTGATTTTGATCTTATTTCCCATGTCTGTCTTAAATGAAATATATTAAAAAGACATCATATGTATAATTTGTATAATATATGTTGTATACTGTATGTATAGTATGTATTTTAGTATGTTATAATCAGTTAATAAATATCTTATATAAATAAATAAATATAATTTTATATAAATATAAATATATAAATGTACAACTTTAAATGTAATAAAGTAATATTATTTAAGAAAAGTAAAAATAGTTGTAAAAAAAAAACTATATTAATATAAAAATCAAAAAGGTAAAGTATGATATACAGTTATACTGACATTTTTAGTGTAGAATCCCCAATAGTTAAACATAACAGGTCTGTCACACAAATATACTGTAATTTTTTGTTGTTCACTGTATATGTCTGTCTACCTGTGTGTCCTGACTAGGAATCACCGTATGTCATGCTGAAAAAGAACCATGAGCAGTTTACTGGAAATGATAAGTATGAAGGTTACTGTGTGGAACTGGCAACTGAGATAGCCAAACACGTGGGATACCACTACATACTCAAGATAGTGGCTGATGGGAAATATGGAGCCAGAGATCCTGATACCATGATGTGGAATGGGATGGTGGGAGAGCTCGTCTATGGTGTAAGTGCTACAAGTTATTTTCTCTCTGCATATATCTGGACTTCAATATCAAAGCGTTAAGGATGAATGCAAGAGAACACAAAGAACCCAATAGCCGTTTACCAGTTATGCCACTGATTCAGAAAATTGACTGGTTTTAAAATCTGAATCATTTTAAGAGAGGAGAGGAGAGGAGAGGAGAGGAGAGGAGAAGAGAGGAGGTTTCAGTAATTGAACCAAAAGGCTTCATATTTTCACCACAGTGACAGTAATAATAACAGAGAGTGAAGAAAACTCTTTCTGGAAGGGTGTTTAGATAGAGGTTGAGAGGTTAGAACAAGTCTGCTCTGTATTTATAGGACACATTTTCGATAAACACAAGAAGTAAGAAAAATGACTGTAGCAGGTCTTTGTCCTAGATTGACTTCTTTTTTTTTCCTGGGTCCATGTGTAATTTAATTATATGTTTAACAATATATATTTAGTGTTTATTGCAATAACATCATACGTTCTTCTGCAGAAAGCTGACGTAGCTGTGGCCCCACTGACCATCACCCTGGTCAGGGAGGAAGTCATTGATTTCTCCAAGCCCTTCATGAGCCTCGGCATCTCCATCATGATCAAAAAGCCCACCAAGTCCAAGCCTGGTGTGTTCTCCTTCCTGGACCCTTTGGCCTATGAGATCTGGATGTGTATTGTGTTCGCCTACATCGGCGTGAGTGTGGTGCTTTTCTTAGTCAGCCGCTTCAGTCCCTACGAGTGGCACGCAGAGGACTGCGAGGAAGGAGCAGAGCAGAACCCTAACCAACCCTCCTCATCGTCCGCTCAACCGGGTCAGGGCCAGCAGAACCAGAACCAGCAGAGTCAGGAGCAGACCAACGAGTTTGGTATCTTCAACAGTCTCTGGTTCTCATTGGGTGCTTTCATGCAGCAAGGCTGTGATATTTCCCCCAGGTAAGATGTCAGTTTGTTTTTGTTCAGTGTTTTTGCAACTAGATTTGCTTCAGGGTTTCATGTTGGACATAAAGTGGTGACTCAACAATCATGAACAAAAATTGTCCGCAAAATTGAAGACATTTATTATTGGATTCTAAACTTTGATGGGTTCATGCGCAAAACTATGGAAGGTAATTTCCGCCACTGAATAAAAATTATTAAAAAAAAGGTAATAGCTTCTCTTTATCTCACAATTCTGTCTTTTTTCTCGCAATTGCGGGTTTACATCTCACAATTCTCAGAATTGTGAGATGTAAATTCATAGTTGGGAGTTATAAAGTCACAATTGTGAGATATAAACTCGCATTTCTGAGAAAAAAAAGTATGAATTGTGAGATATAAACTTGCGATTCTGACTTTTTTTCACATAACTGCATGATATGAAATCGCACTTGAGAGTTAAAAGTCAAAATTGCAAGATAAAAACTGACTTTTTTTCGCAAATGCGAATTTGTATCTCACAATTCTGACTTTATAATTCCCAATTGCGAATTTACATCTCACAATTCAGAATTGTGAGTTTACATCTTGCAGTTCTGACTTTATTTGTCAGAATTGCAACTTTATTTCTCAGAATTGCGAGATTTAAACTCAAAGTTTTTTTCCCCACAATTTTGAGTTTATATCACACAGTACTGACTTTATAACACGTGAGAAAAAAATAATTGTGAGATAAAAAGTCGCAATTACCTTTTTTATTTTTTATTCAGTGGCGGAAACGGGCTTCCATACAAAACAGTTTATGCCAATTGAAAATTAATTTCTATTCAATGTTATTTGGGTTGTATTTATTTATTTGTTTATTTTTACTTTGCAAAGTTTTCTTCATGGCTAGTTTGACGGCATAACATGCAACCTGTCCATGTTGGCATTCATCTAATTTGACTTTTACCAAGTGACAGATGAATTTGCAGCAAAATACAATAAAGTTTGATTGGGCACACAGCATTTGACACCAGCAGAACAAGACAGGGGAAGCAATTTACTTTAGTTTATGAGCGGTTTATTTTGCTAGCTTACTCTGCTATACCATTGCCATTTCATTATGATGATTTCTTCATCATTGATTTCAGTTGTGAATGACGCAACGGTTCACAGCAGTAATATAGATTCCCATGCTGAAGATGTTCAAATCTTTCTTAAATGTTTGGGGTCTAGTGATTTCTCAGTGGTGCTGTTGTGTGGCTCTTGGCAGATTACTGAGTTGTGTTTGTAGTTTAGTAATTCCTCATGTGCACAGCTGGTTTGTGGTGCATGGCAGTATTTCTGAAGATCAGATAGAGCTGCACATCCACTTGGACAGGACACAAGCCTAATGCCACAGTGTCTAATGAGAGGCAGGCAGCAGCTCTTTGAAAGGCAGATTAAAGTGCTGTGAGCGCTACATCGGAGCCTTTTACTCTGTGCTGCTGGTGCGCAGGGCCAGAGATGAAGTGTCTCTCTCTACACAGTTGCTGGACTCTCAAAGGTCACCAATTAAAATCCTAATTAATAGGGGGTGAAGCTGGCAACATGATGTCAATGGCTGTGGGTTTTAAGGGCACAGGGAGGGATAGTGCAGTAGGTCTCATAAAGAAATGTCAGTGGCTGTGTTCAGGCACCAGACAGCTTTCACACCTGTAGGCAACACATTTAAGTCTAGTTGATGCTTAAAGCTAACATTACAGATGGATATCCTAGATTCCAGGTTCTGCAATATAATTAAATGTCTATCTGATATGTCAGCCTCTTTTAAAAAGGTTATAAATGTGTGGCTGAGGTTGATATATGTCTGTTTTATTACATATTGAGTGGCTTAAATTTTATTCAAGGTATATGTATTTTCAGCCTGGTCTCATGTTTATACGTAGGTATTAATACGTAACATTTACAAGCACAAAACGTACATTTTTGTACGTTTTTATTAATGCTAAAACGTACAATTTAGACGTATTTCAACGTTTAAAACGTACAAATCGCTACGTATTTTTAGCTAAAAAACGTACAAATATTTACGTATCTTTTATATCATTAAGATATTCGTATCAGTGCATTTTTTATCATTTAATCAATAAGCGATTAGGTTTTTAGACCCCTTAACCTACCTCCAAACCTAAACCTACCCATTTTACAGCGAATATGCATTTTTATAATTTTATTAATACGCAATTTAGATTTTTAGACCCCTTAACCTACCCCCAAACCTTAACCTACCCATTTTATAGCGAATATAAAAGGATATAAAACGCAAATGACCGAAATATGCAGGAAAATACCATTTTAGTAACAATATAGCATTCAAATATTTTTATAGTCTCTAATCCCACTCCTACTATTTTTAGGTGTCGTCAATACGTCAATTTTGTACATTTAAATGCTGAAAATACGTAAGTATTTGTACGTTTAGATGCTGAAAATACGTCAGTATTGTACGTTTTAGTGCCTGTAAGAACGTAAGTAAATGTACGTTTTATAGAACCACGTTATGTAAAATACATACGAATTATCATGAGATCACGTTGGTATTTTTCTCTGTGAATCATAAGCTGTTCTAAATGGTAGGCAACTCAATTATGCTTTCTAATTTCGGACAAAATTAATCTATTGCATTGAATATTGAATCCTAGAATGCATTGCAACAAGCTCAGCTAGTGGAAAACGTGGGAGAAGTAGTTATTAAAGAAAGCATTTAATTCATTATTGAAAATTATCTGTGTAGACAGTAAGGAAGCTCATTGTGATTTGGAACAGAGCTCATATGATGTTTTTTCCAGTTTTGCCTGTGAATGTCATTCCATCAACATAGCAATAATCGCACCCTTCCTTTTTTGGAGGGGACAATTACTACTATAAGCATAATTACGAATGGGTATGTTGGCAGGGAGTCATTAAGAATTTGAGCTGTGAGGAGTAAATCATGAGTTCAGTTACACAGGTAACATCTCTCACAACTTTTAGCGTAGGTTTTATGTTCAGCAGTGCCTGTTGTATATCATCATGCACTTTGCTTACCATATGTGCTCACTTTTTGCTTTTAATATTATTATTATGTAATTCCTGGCATTTAGTTGATACCCGATTTGACTACAAGAATGAGAGCAAAAGCAGTGTGTTGATGAATCTTTTTGAATTATTAAATGCCACTTTTTGATTAACAGTGACTGTCCTACAGAAGCTAGTTTGCGCTGACATAATGGTAGGATGTCCACAGCACCATGCTGTCACTTTGGTTCCCAGTGTGCACTGTGTGATATGAATAAATTATACTGTTGCAGAACCACAATAGTATTGCAAGCCTCCTTCCTCTGTAGTTGTTCTGTTATATTCATTATATTCATGTTTTTGAAAGAATTCTATTATTTACCAAGGCTGCATCAATTAGTAACATTGTAAAACTGAAATATTATTACAATTTAAAATAGCTGTTCTCTATGTTAATATATTTTAAAATGTAATTTATTTTAAATTGTAATTTATTCCTTTTTATTATTATTTGTGTAACAATGTAAAAGTGTTCACTTCTGATCAATTTAATGCATCTTTGCTATATATATAATATATATATGCTATATATATAATATAATTTATATATATATATAATTTATTTATAATTTATATAATTTATGGATAAAATAATACTTTTATTTAGCAAGGATGCATGATAGTAATATAATATTTTGATTTTTTTGCACCCTCAGATTCCAGATTTCCAAATAGTCGTATCTTGGCCAAATATTGTCATATCCTAGCAAACCATACATCAATGGAAAGCTTATTTATTCAGCTTTCAGATGATGTAGAAATCTCAATTTCACAAAATTGACCCTTATATGACTGGTTTTGTACATACATACATATATATATATATATATCTCTCGCTCTCATCAATTACCACCACCAGGCTAGCTCTTTCTCATCAATTACATAAAATAATTTTAAGTACTTTGCTTTGTTGGTATGGAAAATGACCTTAACCTGTACTGATTCACAGTGATAAATCTTGCACAATCCTGCACAGTGTACATTCTGTCATCCAGCATATCAGAACATACAGGCAGTGTATGTCTCTGTGAGCTCCTGTATGAATTGATTGTTCTGTCTCAGCAGTGGTGTTGAAATGTCAGCGGTGTGAGGGAGATCAGCAAGCTGCTTTCCTGTGGATGTCTCCTGTGATGGGGCGCAGAGAGACTTCAGAGGATCTTAATTAGACCGTGTCATTTCTCGCCTTGACTCAGACTCTGCAGAGTGGAATCGACAATGTTGTAGTGATTATACCTTCTCTCTCCGTGTCACTGAAGTTCTATAAACAAGTGAGGACAGGCTGCGGATGGTGTCCGCATTGCGCGTGAACATGTTTCGCCTTGAACATGTCACCTCAGACGTTGCTGTATGAGTAGCCATGCGTGACTGGATATTCACGATTCTGTTTGTGTGATGACATTTAATTAGTAATGAGAGGAGAGAGTGGACGATAGAGCGAGTGCGGCAACAGCATTAACAAGTTCCATTATGCTTCTTTAATCACGGGTAGTCGGAGCTTCTTCTCTCTGTGATCATCTGCATTTGAATTTACACACTCAGTCCTCCCATCTAATGAGCGCTGATAGGTTGAATGGTGAGTGGTCTGGCCGCTCAATGGTAACAGTCAGACTATGGTTTGCCCCTTCTTGTGCTATTTATTCTTTGGGAGAAAAAAATCCCTGTTCAAATGTCAGACCTGTCACTCAAACCTCCCCATCAGGCCTAATTTATGCAAGCCACTCAAGATAATGTTTATCTCCTCAGACACAGGTGCCCACAATCTCATATCTTACACTGTTACATTGTCCTTCTCTTCTCTTCTCTTCTCTTCTCTTCTCTTCTTTATAGTCACATGATTTTGTTGACTATCCATTTATAAGTTTTAAAATCGTAAGAAAAAATATAATGCAAAAACTGACACTTTAAATTAACATTTCAAACAACAATAACAAAACAAC